TATATATATATATATATATATCCCTGTTCGTCGTCATCCGGAGCCATTTTGCCGAAATGAAAATAATACCGCGAGCCGTCGCGTTCTCCGCGCCTTCGACTCTACTCGCGATCTTTCTCGTGTGGTGCCACTGTGTATGCTCGGCGGTGTACGCGAAGTCGTTGCACCACTTGAAGACAACGTCCGTCGACAACAGCACCGAGATCGTCGCCAATTGCGATCTGATCAGGCCGTTCTTCGATACCAAGAACATCACGCTCGTGCCAGCCGCTGAGGATTTTTCGAACGGTAAGTGGATTTTTCTCACGACTCGAATTTACGCCACTCTTGTCACTCTCCATCTGTATTATTGACCTGTGTGAAGTTGGCCCTCCATTTTTTAAATTTAAAAAAAAGAAGATCAAAGTTCTGGGTGCCTCCGAAGAATTCTAAAGTTCCTATTGTATTATTGTATTATTTTTGTATTCTATTATACCTCTGTCACATTTTTCACACGAGAAATTTACTCTTACGAGTGAATGCGTCCCTCCAGGGAATATTGTTGGAAAGCGACATCGAAGTCAGGTGAAACTGACATTTCTCTCGCATGGACATACTTTGCTCTGACAATGAGAGAGAAAACGCGAAAAATATGAGAGATAAATATAGAAACGATTCGATGAGAAAAAGCGATCGAACAGATACGACGTTAATTGAATAAGATACATAATTGATAAATACTTCGTTTATTTAATAATTGAGATTGTTAGCGCAAACGCGTTCAGCCGAATGCTCTCTCAAACAATCGCGTAATTGATCGATGAACTTTTGATATTCGCTATGACATGAGGCTACACATTTCGTTCGTTAAAATGGTGTTATTTATTTTTTAATGTAAGATTTAACGTAGTTTATTTTAATAGTCGCATGATGTATGTTTTTTTAATTTTCTTTAAAGTCATTTTATTGTAAATCGATAATGAATGTCAGCTACTATTTTTGGATATCTAATTACTTGTGATAATCAAATGGGGTAATTAAATTTTTATTAGCTCGATGATAATTATTACTAATAATATATACTTCTATTATTATTATATATACTATTATTATATATATGTATATGATTATTTATTATTATTATTATTGTACTGATATTAATAATCTTTCCCCAATATTGACGCACTTATTAGATTTACTAATAATACTGTGTGACTCCAAGTGATTATTAAAATTGCCAATATTGCAATTAATATTCAATATCTAATGTCATTAATATTGATATTGATATCATTCAATATGCAATAATAACATTTCGTATTAAAAGTTATGATTTTTGCGCGAATTATTTCAAGTATCTTGTCCTTATACACGTGAATTTGCAATTTTTTGCAAATGTCGATTGAAAATAATAATTAGCAAATACCATTCTCGTATTATTTCACTCATTACGTGATACTAAAATCTATAGAATTTTTCCAGAAATTTTTCCCCTCGAAAATAAATTAGAATTACAAATATTGGCATAATTGCACTCAGATACTTTAAAAATTCGGGCAAGATTTTTTTTTAACATCGCCATCGCGTATCTATTTCGCGCGATTGATTCTCTTTGAAGAGGACAGGAGGATTTAACAAAGGAGGAATTTAACGCGGCTATCGATTCTCCGATGTCAAAGAATCAATCATTTGCATAACTATATCGCTCATCGTAACATGACTATTCTTTTTACCGATTTTTTTTTTTCTTCCCTCTATTCGCACGCGTTTTACTTCCTTGTTGATTTTGTGATTTATGTGATGCTTTTTAGAACTTTGAAACTATTAATCCTATTGGCTAATATACGACTCCGACGTGACGCACATTGCACAACACGCGTGTCCACGTGTCTTCTTTTTTCATCAATCTTACAAGTTATTCGTTTACGAAACAAATGTGTGTTTAGTAAAACTTATTTTTACCAATCCAAAAATAAAAAAGATATTATTACAAATCTAGTTCTCTCCGATAACTGACGCTAACGTTCTCCTTTCTTGTTTTTAGAAAAAAATATTGACGTTCTACACAATTCTATTACATATTTATATAAATTAACGTCACACAGACAGCTACATATCTTTCTATTTTTCTTTTCTTTTACGCGTTTATTTGTGACTTGATTCACATTTGTCCCGTTTTTCGTCTGAACATTGTTAGTCGTATTTTCAATTTTTTTTATTTCTCTCTAAAGGGCATTCTACAATGGCAGTAGGATGGCAGTAAGATTTTAAGAGTTGGTTTTAAGAGCAAATGGGAATTGCCCATTTCGTTACTCTCGGTCTTTACATCACTAAAAACAGTATACTCTCCTACTTCTACAGCCTTGTTACTGCCATTGTAGAATGCCCTTAAGAGTTTGTTATTCTAATACTTCAAAAAAAATCTAATATTTTTCTCCTGATATTCAATATACCTCTACATGTTTATTTATTAATATTTATATTTCTGTATTTATTTGTTTACGTGGTATTTTTTTTTATCGTTGAATATTTCTATATTTAAATCTCTATCTCTATAGTTATCCATATTTTTATTCGTGCTATACGTATATAGCTCGGTCTTTAAATTCGATGTAGCTTCGTTCGCTAAACCGGTTCCCCCAGAGGCGAAGAGGAATGCACGTCACCGCGAGATTTCGATCGATTGCGACGCGGCATATTTTCTGATCTCGGTTGAAATTATCGCGCGAAAACATTATTATTAACCCGAAACATTGTTATTAACACTAAATGCACGTATTCGATGAAGACTTTTATTTATTTAACATTTTTGTATTTAATATGTAAAATTAGAATATTTTTGTATTTTTTATTTTTTTGTATTTAATATGTTAAATTATTCGCACAACGAATTGTAATCAGAATAGCTGTTTGAATTTTCCCAGCTCTTAAATAATTTTTTCGGAAATCTGTTTCTTAGGAATTTTGGATAACACGCGCCCCAAAAGAGAGAAGGAATATAGAGACAGAGAGAGAGAGAGAGAGAAAGAATTCTATCGAAACCTATCGTGACTCGATGTTATTTGCAGAAATATTGAAATAAGAGAACAATAAACAATTTTTTCGTGCAATGAAAATGTAATGCTGGCATTTTTATTCTTTACATTTAATTGCACGTCTCACCGAGCTGTCTCAAAAACATAAAAAACTCTTAAATTATTCGGAAAGAAGAATTTATTAATTTATATAACCAGAACTTGTCAATTATATCGAAATCATAAATTAACAAAAGTGTCATTCGAGTATCGATATTTTCTTCGAAAAATGAAAAATTATATGTTACATCCGATATAGTGAAAATTCCGATGACACGACATGTGCGAGGAAATGTAAAATTGCGCGTGGAAACTCGATTAATTCAACGAGACGAAATTTCGCTTGTGTGATAAAATAATATTTGATGTAATAAAATTTTCGTTTGATCGAGTTACAGAGATTACGCGATCGGGTTTCAATTACATTAATCTTTTTCGAACGATCTCACAAATATGTAGGTCGGATTACTGAGCTTTTATGCCGCGGTCGAGTTTATGCGGTTTGACGTTTAACTCAAGTTCCCCCCACCCTCCCCCACCCTCCTCTTTATCGTGCTCCAATTTGATTTAGCTTCAGTCGAAGGGGAGCGTTCCCTAACGTGGGTGACGTTGCGCAATAATAACGTGAAGCATCTTTTTCTTCTTTTTTTTTTCCAGCGACGTGCCATGGCAAGTGCTGCAGCAAGGAGATGGAGGAGCATTTGAAGCAACAAGCTCGGGCCGACTTCCACAATCTGATTCATCATCATAGCAGAAGTCTGCAGGGTCTCCTCGTCACTACCGCCGACGCTTATCTCTTTTCGCCTCCTAGCACGTTCGCGTTGCTGAGCAAAGTGCTTTCGTACGAAAAGCAGGATTAATATATGCGTACATGTAAATTCGTAATCACTGGTATCTGTATGGCTATATACTATTATATATTTTAAAACTATTTCCCGTTGTCGATTTGTGATATTGAGAAATTCGAATAATTAAGTGATCGTTCAGCCGATTTACCTGTGTGTGTATAATCGATTCTATTTTTTCCCAAGTACGCGATGTTAGTTGCAATAATAATCTTTTATAAACAATTTATTTAATCAAAACCGATTTAGGGCTGAGAAACGTGCAATCAGTCTTTAATGTGACTGTTTAATGTGGCATATTTTAATATGTGTTATTATGTCATAGAATATTGAAATAGCTTTTACCAGATATCAGGTGGCATTCGCGTTTAATATTGCGATATTGATATAAAATGATAAATGAATTTTACAGTAAATAAATATATTTTCGAATTTTATGTATGTATTTTCGTAATTCTAAAATGTCGAAAAATTATATTTTTTTAAAATGTTCGTATGTGTGTATGTATGTGCACCAAAACATGATTGCTCTAACTTTCGCAAATTTTGAGATATCGAGCTAAATATTTTTACATGGATAGAGTATCATTAAAGGATAGTTGGTATTGAATTTGGCTAGGGTCGGTGAAGGGGTTTAGTTTTTATAAAATTTCGAATTTTTCTAAAAAAGGGTGTGGTTGCTCTAACTTCCGCAAATTTTGAGATATCGGGCTAAATATTTTTACATGATTAGAGTATCATTAAAGGATGATTGGCATTGAATTTGGTGAGGATTGGTGAAAGGGTTCATTTTTTATAAAATTTTGAATTTTTTGAGACATGCTTGTACACGCTCTAACTTTCACAAATTTTGAGATATCTTCCTCTATGAATTATTTGAGAGAGATAAATACAAGAGCAATATTAGATTACTCCAAAAAGAAAGAGTGCTACTGCAAAAAGAGAGAATTGCTAAAGCTAAATCCATAACGAACGAAGGAAGGAATATGAACCAATACAGACAAATATCAGAAAAGGCTTAAATATAAAAAAAAATATCTAAAAAAAATAATTTAATTATTAATTTTGCTTTCTCATAGAAGAAGCTTTGTTTTCGTGAAATTTTTTTTTTTTTTTTTTGGGTTTTTTTTTCCAATATTCAGAAATGCTCTAACTTCCGCAAATTTTGAGATATCGGGCTAAATATTTTTACATGATTAGAGTATCATTAAAGGATGATTGGCATTGAATTTGGTGAGGATTGGTGAAAGGGTTCATTTTTTATAAAATTTTGAATTTTTTGAGACATGCTTGTACACGCTCTAACTTTCACAAATTTTGAGATATCTTCCTCTATGAGGAAGCCAAAAATGAAATACCTTCAAGGATTAAGGAGCTTAAGCTTTGTGAGCGAAATAAAATGATGAGGAAGCAAGTTTCTAATTTGCACAATTTTCATCTTGTTTTTATATTTTTTATAAGATGTATAGTTTTCTGTATAATTATTAATTAAATAATATTTCTTCACTGACGTTCGCTGATATTTGTCGGCTTAAGAGACTCGTCGTTATAATACTTGTAATGTGTACTCTCTGGGATATATGAAATTCCCAGGTAACAGAGAGGGATCAGTAAAATGACCTGCAGTTTATTCTTCGTTTCCGGCGTTTTGCCATTAGAATTGCTAAGGAGCTTTCATTCGTCCTTCGACACGTTTGATTTATGGGATTTTCCATCGATCGTTGTATCGGCAAAGGTTCGACAAAAGATAGGTGGAGAGACACATCTCTTCTCTCCCTGAAAAAAAAAAAAAGAAAGACCTCCATCGCGTTCATTCTGTCGGATAGTTTGCACATCCCGAGAAGGTCGATCGAAAATTATTGTGAGAGGAGAGCTCTTCCGGGGCACCGACATCCCCGAGAACTCACCGCGGGGCTCCCTTGTATATTGCCGGTCTTCCGTTCACGAAGAATCGCGAAGCCGCTTTCCGCTCTGCCACCTTATACGGGGACAGGAGAACGCGAATCTCCCTCCTATCCGATCCTCTCCCCCCCCCCCCCCCCCCCCCTCCT